GCTTGAGCCACAGGCGCTGAGCCTAGGATCACTCTTGAAGTGGCTATCCACTTACTCAATGTGCCAAAACCGGTCTCACTCTGTGCCCCTAGGAGCTAAGACTTTAAGGCGTTTCAGTCCCTGCCTTTACACTGCCCAGTCACTAGATTACTTGCTCCTGCCAGATTCTTGCTCCGCAACCCTCAGGGCGGAGCTTGCCAGGGCAGTTCTCTGTCTGGCTCAGCAGCTGGGGCCCTAGATAGTGCTTAAAGTCCTTCGCACTCTTGCCCAAGTTTTCCCAAGGTAGTTCAACTGAGTGCCAAGTCCAAAAAAACCCAAAACAGCTCACAGGTAAGGCCTTAAAAGTTTTCAATTCACTGCTGCTGACTTAACAGCTTCCAGAGGGATTAGTCCGAAATAACACAAGCAACCATTTGCCAGTTCTCCACTGCTTTTGTCCTTTTCATGGGGTCCAGAAGTCTCAAGCTGACTCCCTGTGTCCCCAGAGGGATGTTTCTGGGCAGATCCCACCAGCCAGAGATGCCTGGAGTCTTCTCTCCCCAGTCTCACCCTACTCAGTTGTAAGGAAGCTGTTACTCAGCCGCCATCTTGCTCCTGCATGCCTTTTGATTACTAAGTGCCGGAATGGTTTCATTTTGTACAGAAATATAGGCACGTGGACAATATCATGTTTGAGAACCACACAGTAGCTGACCGCTTCCTTGACTTCTGGAGAAAGACAGGGAACCAGCACTTCGGGTACTTGTATGGCCGGTACACAGAGCACAAGGACATCCCTCTTGGCATCAGGGCAGAAGTGGCTGCGATTTATGAACCCCCTCAGGTAACCATCTCAGAGTCCACAGGTGATGTCTGTCTGTCTGTCTGTGGCCCTTTGCAGATTGCATCTGGCCTTGTACTGTCATAGCACATTCTCTCCACTTGGCTCCTTTTGCACATACATCATGCTTATGTTCTGAGTCAGGGGAACATAAGATCATGGCCCCTAAATACCTCAGTGTGTATTTCCTAAGAATAAGGGTATTTTCTTATGTAACTAGCACATTTATTGACTTAAGTAAATTGAACAAAGACTGTTACAGCATTCTTACCTGTTTGCCATAGGTCGTGAGTGTGGCACTTGGCTCTGAAGTGTCCAGGGTTGCTTCATTCAGCTCTTTCTGTCCTTGTGCCCCTTCTCCCAACACAGCAGTCGTGGTCGTAGCAAGCACCAAGTTAAATGCTGCAGCATCACTCTCACTACTTGTCACATACCACTCATACTGCATTGTCACCAGAATGAGGAAAACTGCTACCAAAGTAGGACTGGAAACAGTCTTAAGATTTTTTTTTTTAGTTAAATTTATTTTTTTAAATTCAGTTTAATATGAGGGTACAAATAACCAAGTCACCATATTTGAATTTGTTAGATAGAGTCCCTCTTGTAGTTATGTCCTGCACCCAAAAGTGCTGTAAACCCGACATTGTGCCCATTCAGTGGGGGCACACCAGTCCCCCTCCCCTTCCCTCATTCCACCTCACCACAGCTTGAAATGAGTTTTTTTTCTATGTGGGTGTGAATTAGATTGTCTGCTGACTTCATATTAGTATTGTGTACATTGGATATTTGCTTGTCCATTCTTGTGATACTTTACAGGTGGGGAGAAGGGTCTTTAGGGTTTGTCTTACCCACCAAGGGTGTATGTACAGTCAGCCATACTGAGATGTCGTTGGAAGGGCCTCTGTATAATTGTGCCACCAACTAGTTACACACTTTATTTCTGGTTTTTAGGAATTGGGTGTGTGTGTATAAATCTATACATTTTAATTTATGATATATTTCTCATTATATAAATTTTACTACAAAAGCAAAAACTCTTTTGAATTCTAGTTGATACCATGCATGGTGAACTGTTTAGGGGGAAGTATACTTGTATCTACTTTGAAATCTAACAGAAAAATAAGATGGATTGGTGGGTGACTATAGGGGCCTATAGGGCATAGTGAATGTTCAGGCTGAATGAAGTAGGGATATGGGCACGCTCTGTAAAATTCATCACCCTTTGGTATATGTTAGAAATTTTTTTTTTTTTTTTTTGTAGAGACAGAGTTTCACTTTATTGCCCACGGTAGAGTGCTGTGGGGTCATGTAGCTCGCAGCAACCTCCAGCTCCTGGGCTTAGGCGGTTCCCTTGCCTCAGCCTCCCAAGTAGCTGGGACTACAGGCTCCTTCCACAAAGCCTGGCCATTTATGTTAGAAATTTTTTATAAGAAAACCAGGAAAAAGCTGGGCATGGTGGCTTGTGCATGTAATACTAGCACCCTGGGAAGCCGAGGCAAATGGATTTCTTTTTCTTTTTTTTTTTTTTTT